CACAAAAGAGTATTTATCTTTTTAAGCCTCCTCATTGCTTTTTCATACTTAATATTAATAGATTGATTCCCTCTAGAAACAAGATAATATCAACTGCAGAAATCATAGCTTGTGTCGTTTTTGCTCTCGGTTTTCAGAGTGATTCTTAATTTTGGTACTTATAGATTTTTAACTAATTCACTTCACTGTTTTCCATTTACCTGCCCTTCATATATCTCTGGCATTCATGAGCTATTTAGTCATTTCAAGGAATTCTGTGTGTGCTTCATGCACTAGAGCCGCCTTTTTGCACCCTCCATCCTTGGCGTTATTTCACTCTCTAAAGATACTGAGTTAATTGGTACAGATGCTGTGCGCACGGCTCCTCAGTGCCAAGTTCTGGAGCCCCTTTCTTGGGCTCAGTGTGGCTCCAGCACATCTCAGGAAGCTGGGATGCAGGTGGTCCTGCCTGGATTCTGGAGCGTGTGGTGGTCTCTGACTGATTCCCAAGAGAGAGACCCAGCTTACGGAGAAACCAGATGATTCACCGGAAGCATTTTTTTTTTAAGTTGAAATTTAAGTCTCTTGTCTTGGAGGAGAAGTGCTTTCATAGAAGGTTGGAGGCGCACTGTTGTGGTCTTGGGGTTGGACGCAGGCGGTGAGCATGTGAGTTGACTGCGGTACAGCTAACACAGCTAGTTATCCAGACTGGAAGGCAGAGAAGCAGTGAGGCTGATGGAGGCAGAGCAAGAGGAGAAAGACTGGGAGCGGGCAGATGGGGCGGCGTGGGGCGGCGGCACCGGACGTGGTGTGAGCGTGCGGGGAAGCCGAGACTTGGGATAGGCGTCCTTCCCTCCCCTCCAGCCCCCTGCCTCCCAGGGTGGTACAGCCAGGGGGAGGGAGAGCCTGGGGATGCTCTTGAGGAGGCGGGAGGCGTGTGGACGCAGTGCTGAGCGCTCAGCGCATTCATCTGTGACATGTGTCCCCAGTGTGCTGGGTGCCCTCCTGCTCCGAGGAGTCAGCTCTTAGGGCCCGGGGGCTCAGCTTGGGGGGACCGGGGGGCTCAGCCTGGGGGGACCGGGGGGTCACACTGAGTTGGGACCGGCAAGCGCAGCTCAGGCTTCCTCTCGATGGGTGTTGGGTGCACAGGCGCTCAGATTGTCCCTGATGCAGCAGACCTTAGAGCAGCACATGCTGCATGTCAGTGTCCCCTGTGAAGAGAGCCCAGGGCAGCCTATAAACCTTAAACCCGGAGGCCCCCGTGCGCCAGGGACGTAACAGGGCAGCCTATAAACCTTAAACCCGGAGGCCCCCGTGCGCCAGGGACGTAACAGGGCAGCCTATAAACCTTAAACCTGGAGGCCCCCGTGCACCAGGGACGTAACGGGACAGCCTATAAACCTTAAACCCGGAGGCCCCCGTGCACGAGGGACGTAACGGGACAGCCTATAAACCTTAAACCCGGAGGCCCCCGTGCGCCAGGGACATAACGGAAGGAGCTGGAGGAGAGCCGTGTGCAGTGATGGATTAAGGGCTCACTGACTGATGTATTTATACATAAAGAGCTCCTTGCATGTGCTATGGAAGCAAGGGGTGAGAAGGTTTAAAGCCTGTCTACCTTTCGTTCCATGTTACTTGAAAAGTTTTGTCTCAATGAATTCAGCTTGTAGATTATATAATCTGAATAAAATGGTAGGCTTTCATATCGTTAAACAGGAGTAGGTTCGGCGAGTGTGGATAACGGTATTTTGAAATGTCAGACTCCGTAGAGGAGGGCTGAGGATTCTGTCGACTCCGCTGCTGGCTCTCTGGCTTTAGACTGCAGAGGGGGATGGCTGCGGTTTTCCGCGACGCCCGGTCCTCCTCCTCTTCCAGCCTACCGGGCCGCCTCGCCTCCAGTCTGCGTGCCCGGCTCAGCCTTTGCCCGTAGCGTGGATGCAGCCTCCAGGCCGATGGCTGGCGAATTGGCGGGCTCGCTGTGTCCGCCTCCTTCGCTCTGGCAAACACGGTCCTCGCTGCCCGGTGTCGGCTGTCTGAACCGGTTGTGTGGTGGGTTTTGTTCTGTTTCCTGGGTCTCATGGGCCAGTGAGGAAATCCAGACTGACTCTCTCATGGTTGGAAGCACATTTCATTTTAGAAATATGCTTTTTGAAGCAGTGAATTTTAACAGGTCAGCAGTACCTTGAGGGTATCTCTCTTGCTCTTAGGATGTTTTAAAATAAAACTTTTCTTCGGGGCGATGCTAAATCATGGGTTTTCCTGGCTGGATTTCAGGCCAGTGCCCCCTAGGAGAGCAGCTGGTGGTCTCGGACCCGGCCCTTCCAGGAGCTCTTGGCTCACAGACAGCTTTGCTCCCGTGTTTCCATCAGTCAGAGCTCTGGTCTGAATCGGACCACGTGTCCCATGGCTTCTGCCGTGGAAGCAGCTTTGCCCTGGATCTCGGTGTTTGCCTCTTCGCTGAGTCCTGAGCCGTGGCTTCTGCTCTGCAGTGTGGCTTTCCGGTCCCCGCTTGTCCTGAGGCTGGGTGGCCCTCCGGCCTTCTCCTTGGAGCGGAAGGGGCTGGGCTGAGGGGTGTCAGGGGACCCTGCCCTCAGGAGCTTGGCAGCGTCCAGCCACGATCTGTCAGTAAAAGTCAGATGAGACAGACAGGGTTGGGGTGAGGACAGAAAACCAGAATGGGCCGGCACATGGGTGGCGCCAGGAGGGACCATGGACGTGGGTCCAACAAGGGGCGGTGTTGCAGCTCCGTTGAGATGAGCAGAAGAAAGCAGCTGTTCAGAGCTCCAGGCCCAGAACATTCCAGGCAGAGGGAAGAGCGAGTCCAGAGGCCTCGGGGGAGCACGGGCCGGGCACTGACGTCAGGAGGGAGGTGGCCTGTGCACCCAAGGTCAGTCCGGCCGTGAGCACTTCTCCACCCAAATAGGGCACAGTCAGGAGGCCCCAGGGGCAGGCAGCAGAGGGTCCCTGGGCTGAGCGTGGGGCTCAAGCCCCTGGCGAGATTGCAGGGCCTGTGATGTCCCCAGAGAGCCAGCAGAGTGCCAACAGTGGGGTGAAGGCCAGTTGAGCAGGGCTGGTCACACGAGCCAGCAGGAGTCCATGTCTGAACGTGCAGAACCACGGAGAGCTCCGCGGGACCTGCTGCCTCAGAGGTGCAGAGCTTGCCGCCAAGCTACGGGACACCAGCTGTCCAGGCTGGTGGACCTGTAGCCTGGAAACCCCGCCTCTGTGGACAGGGGTCTCCGGGGGACACTTGGAGACGTGAGGAGCAGGGCAGGGGCGGGAGGGCCGGCCCCGTGCCAGTTAACTGCCCAGGCCCTGACGGCCTGCTGCCGCCCGCACCCCTGCTTGGGTGAGCCGGGCGCCCGCCCCTCCGGGAGCGCCGTGGCCCCGCCATCCACTCACCTCCCTTCCATCACCTCGCCCCCAGCACTCATTGTGACGCGCGCAGGATAGGCTGGAGGTTCACAGAAACAGGAAGGGTGCCTGAGGGCTGCCTCAGGAAAACCCAGCCGTGCCCCCTCGCTGGAGACCGCTGCTCGACCGCTCTCCCATTAGAAAGACTCAGGTTCCGAGTCCGTCAGCCGCTGACCCTGCAGGTTCGCCAGCACGTTGGAAGGAACAGCAGGCCCGGGGTGTGGGCTGCAGCTCCAGCGGTAACATCAGAGGGTCGCTGGTGAGAAGCATTACAGACGGTCTGTTCAGGGCACTGCGGAGCAGCCTGCGGAAAGCGCAGGGAGACTGAGCTGATGGGCGACAGCGCCTGAGGTCCTCTCTGCTGAAGGCGAGTGCATCAGGAGGCTGGGGCTCCTCCGTCACTGTGCGCGTCTGTTAGCGGCGGAGAGAGGGAGGCGTCTGTGGAGTGTGTGCTGCTGTGTGCAGAGCCTGTCTCTGAGGAGAATCCAGACACGGCGACTGGGGCGGTGGTGGGACCCGGACTGACGGGGGAGGCCTTCTGCCACGCGCTGTTTTATTCTCATACCATACGTGTATTACCGCTCCCAGACTGTCCCCAGAGTGACTCTGTTTTTAACGTCAGAAATCTCCAGCTGCACCGACTGAATGAAAGTCCGCCTGTTTTAGCAGGGAGATGATCTGACTTCTGAACGCCCGGTCACCAGTCCTCCAGTGGCTCCAGCTTGTCTTCTTTCACGTTACAGGAAATATTTGACTCATAATTCATCGTGTTCTTCTCAGAGAGCTTCTCGCTCATTGAACTAATAAAGCCTCATCCAGTTTTCTTAGGTTTCTTTCCCTTCCCTCCTCCACCCAAAGGCCTGCACATTTATTACCAGGTTAGGTGATATTTAGACAAGTCACACCAACAGGAGGATAACCATTTGCCTTAACATTTGAACTCTTTTTTTCAAAAATTACTCCTTTGGCTGCGCCGGGTCTTGGTTGCAGTGGGTGGGATCTTGTTCCCTGACCAGGGATCGAACCTGGGCCTGCTGCATTGGGAGCGAGGAGTCTCAGCGGGACGGACCTTCTGGGTGACGGGAGGGGACGCTGTCTCCAGCCGTCTAGGAGGCTCTTTGAAAACGTAGCAGAGCCGGGACTGTGGACAGAGGTCCAGACCTCCCGTGGAGGAGCCCTGGGGGGCTGCTTCACGCGTCTGTCTGAGTGGACCCTCACCTGGAAGCAGTCTCAGCTCAGTGCCAGGCAGCCGTGGCTCTAGTAATACTTCTTTGAGTCCGTTTACTTTTTTCTTTCAACTTCTCGCCCCCAGGATGTGTCCTCTTCACAAGGGCTGTTCTTGTTGAGTTCCGTTCTTCGAAAGTCTCAAGTCCTGCAGCTTCTCTCCAGCTTGTTCCTTCCAGTCTTTCTTTGTTAGGAGGGGAGGGTGAGGGCAGACTCCTTGTCAGACAGGTGAGGACAGCAGATGCCTTTGAAAGCAGACTCTGCAGAGGCTCTCGTCTCCCACCTTCTTGGATTATCAGCCCTGGGTCTGTCACGGGCGTTTCTCGCCAGTCCGGGGCAGGCTGGTGGTGGGTGCTCACCACTGTGCTCCTGGGCCCCCGCAGGCACCTCCCCGTTCATGGACGTGCTGACGGCCAACGGGACGAGCACCCTGCAGACGTCAGTCACGGGCGTGACGGCTGGGAAGAGGAAGTTCATTGAGGACAGGCGAGACCAGCCCTTTGACAAGCGGCTGCGCTTCAGCGTGCGGCAGACAGAGAGCGCCTACAGGTACCGGGACATCGTGGTCCGGAAGCAGGACGGCTTCACCCACATCCTGCTGTCCACCAAGTCGTCCGAGAACAACTCGCTGAACCCGGAGGTGAGTGCCGTCTCCGGGCCCACGGCCAAGCCCCTGTTCCCCTGGGCCCTTCTCACCTGCCCGCCCCGGGCCGGGTCCAGCTGTGAGCAGGGAGGTGCAGGGTGCCCTGAGCCCCCACCTCCTGGTCAAGAGCCCCTCATCCGCCCAGGTGGGGGAGATGGGCCTCCCTGAAATCGCGTGTGAGGTGTGTCCTCATGCCCTCCCCTCAGGCTCCCAGAGCTCTCGGTTCAGGCGAGGTTAAGGTCCCCCGGGGTCCAGCCCTCCAGAAGCTCACCCCACCTTCCTTCCCATCAGCCTCCAGCTCCACGTGGAGTGGAGCTTCAGCTGCAGTGATTCCTGCACGGTTATTGCTGGTCATTAAGTAGCTTCCACGGGGTGAGGGAAACGGGTGCTCCCAGAGGCTCAAAAGCTTAGTCCTGTGATGTATCTAAGATCAGGGCACCTGAGCTGTTTCATGCTCAACAATGTCAGCTCTAGCAGTTGTTCGTTTCCCACTTGTGGGTGGTAGGTCAGGCTTTTTCCAGGTGAGAAAACTGAACCACAGAAAGCTAGAGTGTCTGCCCAGTGGTCAGGGGGCACCAGGCCCGGGCTGGCCCTTGGCACCTCGTTAGAGTGTTTGTATTAAACCTTTTTAAATGGTTTGTGCCCACTGAAAATGCCTCCGTGCTGTGCTTGCTCTTATTACCCTTATGCACCAAACTTGGGGTTTCCGTCCCAAGATTGGGAGCCCGACATCAAAAACAAAGCAGCACCAAACCAGCAGCTTCTTTGAGCTGGTTGCCTGTGCCACCTGCTGTCCAAACTATAGAAATGCGAGGATAGAACAGAACTCGCCCGCCAGGAGCCACGAGGACAGCAGTGTTTAGCGACTCAGAGCCACATGTCTCCCTAGTTACACTCCATTCCTCACAGGCTGTGATGACACTCTGTCCCCACCGTTCCCCACCCCTGACTTCAGAAAAGAAGGAAACTGCAAGTCACTCGGTAGACGCGGGCCACAGGGTCAGGCCGTGAACCCGCTTCCGGTGAGTCGAGTGGGTCGGTGCAGTGAGGAGACGCTCTTGGGTGCCTTTCAGGTGATGAAGGAGCTGCAGAGCGCGCTGAGCACGGCTGCGGCCGACGACAGCAAGCTGGTGCTGCTCAGCGCCGTGGGCAGCGTCTTCTGCTGCGGCCTGGACTTCATCTACTTCATCCGGCGCCTGACGGACGACCGCAAGAGGGAGAGCGCCAGGATGGCCGAGGCCATCAGGTACGCACCACGGTCCGTGGGAGGGTCTCCTCCCTGCACCGCCGGACCCTGCTGGGGAGGGTCTCTTGCCCCGAGATGAGTTATGAGACAAGTGAGGGGTCTCCTCCCCAGAAGATGGCTGAGGCCATCAGGTACGCACCCCAGTCCACCGAGATCACTGGCGTGAGCCAGACCCCATGATGCTAGGAAGAGTTAATACACCTTCTATTCTGTGGGCCATTTGCCTCAAGCAGGTAACCGATGTCAATGCTGGCTCGAGCCCAGCGCGTGTTGGAGGGGGTGGGGTCCAGGGCGAGAGCCCAGGGTAACACGTGGTAGGAGTGTCTACCATGTGTGTTCATGGCCTGCAGCCCTGGAATACGGATGCCCTCTCCTTCATGTGATAACTTACCATTTGGTCAACTCCAGAATAAATCAACTAAGCTTTATGACATGCAAGTTCTATAACATCACACAAGAAGGGTCCAACTCAATGGACATGAGTTTGAGTAAACTCCAGGAGTTGGTGATGGACAGGAAGGCCAGGTTTGCTGCAGTCCATGGGGTCACAAAGAGTCAGACACGACTGACCAACGGAACTGAATGTTCTTATGCCTCAGGTGGTGACTTTGCATGTTTTCCGTAAGATCACACTGAATTTCCACCTGATGGTGTGATTTGGGAGCTGGTTTGTCCACCTCAGTTCCAGCCCCCCTCCCCACCCTGCGCCTACCCCACCCCACCCCACCCCAGGCGGGGTTGCCCTTGACTGTGGCATAGGCTTGTATTGTTGGGATCAGACAGACCTGCGGAAGAAAAAGCAGCAGCCATCTCGTGTGTTGAACTCCAGGTGCTTTAAATGCTTGTTTTCTTCAGCAACCCACTCCATTTCTGAGACTCCAGCATGCCCCACAAAAAGCTGGGTTGGTCTTCTAGGGAAATGCCAAATCTTGCTTTAGGAAAATCCACTCAGTTCTTTCCTAAATGATGTGTTTTGTCAATGTGAAGTTCTGTTAATGCAGGATCCGAAAAACAGTCACACCAGATCTACTCAGCCTTTACCTTGGCTCATTTGCACTGAAATTCATGTTGTGTGTGTAAAGTTGGCTTATACATGCAAAGCTATTACTGTGTATATTTTTTGTTTCTGTGGTGCTCTCAAATTCCTTAAATCTTTGGGCAGAGAACATCACCGCCATGAGTTTCCAAAAGGAAGGTAGGAAATAGGAAGGTCAGGCATAGACTGTGAGCTTCTCACGTGTCTGTGGGGCTAACTCTGGCTGGGATTGTTGGTGGTAACCAGTTTGCAGATGAACTGTGATAAAAATACTCAGCACATGAGTGATAAAGTTATTAGGGATCGGTTTATAGCATTAGGCTCTTGGAGTCCGCGGGACCAGGAGGAGGCAGGGCTTGAGGAAGAAGCAGAGCCCGTGAGGAAACGCGCCCTGCACCCTGACCTTGCCGCGTTCCGTCCCGGCCCAGACCCGCTGGTGCAGGGGAGCTCGGCTGAGAGAGGGCGGCAAACCGGCCGTAGACAGCTCAGTTCCTGTTTCCCCAAAGCGTTTCAGAGACTGACCGTTTGTAGGTGGTATTCTACCTTTTTGGTGAGGTCTGTGGGATGGTAAATATTCTCCAAAAGAATGGATAGAATCTCGTTTTTGTTGAATGGTCTTTTTAAGCTTTAAAGGTCTTCCCTGTAGCTCAAACTGTAAAGAATCTGCCTGCAATGCAGGAGACCCAGGTTCAGTCTCTGGGTCGGGAAGATTCTCTGGAGAAGGGAATGGCAATCCACACAGTATTCATGCCTGGAATATCCCATGGACTGAGGAGCCTGGTAGGCTACAGTCCATGGGGATGCAAAGAGTTGGACATGACTGAGCGACTTCACTTTGCCTTTTTAAGCTAACTTTGTGGCAAATATAATCTCTCCTTCCCACTGTTCCCAGCATAGCCTTTCACTCAATTCAGAGGAAACTGAAGTTTAAATTCAGTGTGTAGTATGGGGCACATCTAAATGCTCATGCATTTTGATTTTAAGGTTTAAAACACACTTGCTTTTCGCCCCCCAAAGCAGCAGACAGACGGTCCCGAGCGTCCAGGGCCCAGAGGCACCTCCCGCCTCCCACCTCCGGCAGCCGTGGGGCTGAGCCTTCGTGTTTCTACTAAACAGAAAAGCAGTTGTGTGAACTTCTGTCTGGCAGGTTTTGTTCCTCACATGAAAGGGATTTCTCCATGGACCGTGCTCGCTCTGGCGTGGCAGAGTCCTCACCGTGGCTCGGTCGAGTCCTCTGAGACGGGACAATGGTGACCACTCCAGAGCAAGCTGGCTGATTCCTGCTGCTCCCAGGAGGAGCCCCGGGTTTAGAGCAGGTTATCAATCCAAGCAAAAATAAAAGTCATCTTAGGGGGAAAAATTCAGCTACAGACATTTCTCCAAACATACAACATGAGAAGGATTAGTGCTACACAGAGTAATCCATTCCCTTTACCATTTCTCTGTCAGTCACTTCAGTCGCTCAGTCGTGTCCAACTCTTTGTGACCCCATGGACTGGAGCACGCTAGGCTCCCCTGTCCACCACCAGCTCCCAGAGCTTGCTCAAACTCGTGTCCATCAAGTTGGTGATGCCATCCAATGATCTCATCCTCCCTCGGCCCCTTCTCCTCCCGCCTTCAATCTTTCCCAGCATCAGGGTCTTTTCAAATGAGTCAGTTCTTCGCATCAGGTGGCCAAAGCATTGGCGCCTCAGCATCAGTCCTTCCAATGAATATTCAGGACTGATTTCCATTAGGATGGACTGGTTGGAGCTCCTTGCAGTCCAAGATTATACCATTGCTCTGTAGAATCTCTTTATTGTCATACTGGTTTGATCCCCTCTTTCTTGTGAAGTTACCATCCCCGTCTGTGGTTTCTAGTTGTCAGTATTGGAACTGTCTCCACTTTGCCCCCGTTCACAGGAGCAGCTGAATTCGGGGCCACTCAGGGAAAATGTCTGCTTTAAGTCAGGGAGACAGTTTGGCAGTTACTTTGTCGACAGTCGTCTGTAACTGAGCACAGATGATGCGTTTCTGTCACGGGTCGTTGATCTGGAATCAGAAGGTGGCAGAACTGAATAGCTTCATGGAGATGGTCTGGGATTATTTCAGGGACCTATTTTAGAGGTCATCTGGCTCTCTCTGTGTCCTTGAAACCCGGGCTGAGGACTCACTGCAGAGGTCTTGGGGAACAGTGCCCTGAGTGAGGCGCGCCGCTGCTGAACTCTGGGGCCCCCTCCCCCCGCTGTATGCGCACACACACCCGTCTGATCCTGCCCTCCCAGAAATCCGTGGCCCCTCATGTCTGTGTCTGTGGAGGAGGGGAGACTGCATGTGAAGTCGTGACTTTCAGAGCCCATCTGAACAGATTAAATTGCTGAACTATAGGGAGCAGCACCCAGACTATTACCTTTGGTACTGCAGCTGGGGGCTGTAGGGTTTAGAATCTGGAATTCTGTCCTTCTGATCTCAAGCTCAGACGGCCTTGAAGGAATTATCTTGTATTCATTTTGGGTGTGTATGTCCTTCTCTTCACTGTGTTCAGTCTTGACAAGACACAGCCTCTGAATGTAGTTAGATTCCAGCGTGGGGAGGAGGCTGCACCAGCCGGCCCTAAACTGAAGAGCAGCCCAGCTTTCCAGCCTGATCCTAAAACAGACCCGAGCGGTGTTGCCTGGGCTGTGAGACTCCTCGCCCCCCGTGTGGGGGAACCCAGGCCTCCTGGGAGGCCTGCGTGACGGTGGTCGCGAGTGGCGGGCTCGGGGATGCTCTGTTGGATCTTGGGTCTTACACCAGCCTCTGAGAGTCTCGTCTCTGCGTCTGAGTCACTCCATCCAGTTCCATGTAAACTCAGGGGTACTCGTGTTTCCAGTTCATCAGCGAGCTGTCTGAAGGCACAGACCACGTCCAGGCGCTGAGGCTCCTGCCCCACCCCCGGCCGTCGCTGTGGCCCCGGGCCTGGTTTCATCCGAGAGAGCTGCTGGACTGGTCGTCCGGAGCCCAAGGGAGGGACTTCACCAGGGTCTGCAGGGATAGCCGCCTCCCCCACCCCAGGGTGCCGCTCAGCCCTTTGTGGCCAGCAGGCCGTCGGAGCAACCAGTTACGGTCAGGCGCGCGGCCTTCGCGTCCTGATGCACTGAATTCCATCGAAGCGGATTTCTTTCTGTTGCTCAAACGTGCAGTGTTTTGAGTAATCGCCCATTTGTTTTCTGTTTTAGAAACTTCGTGAACACCTTCATCCAGTTCAAGAAGCCCATCATCGTGGCCGTGAACGGCCCAGCCATCGGGCTAGGAGCATCCATCCTGCCTCTCTGCGATGTGGTCTGGGCCAACGAAAAGGCGTGGTTCCAGACGCCCTATACCACCTTCGGGCAGAGTCCAGATGGCTGTTCCACTGTCATGTTCCCCAAGATTATGGGAGGAGCATCTGTGAGTACCTCTTCTCAACACGTCCTGGGAGCCGTCCTCGGCTAACTGTGTACAAGGCGTCGCTCTGTGGGCAGTTCCTATCAAATGCACACGTCATTCAGCTCTTATCCTTACGTCATGAAGTCGTATTCCTCATTCATGAACCCATGGGAAGTTGTCATGTTTGTGTTCATAGAATGTTTATTGACACCGTTTGGCATCATTCTCCAGAGGCCCTCCTTCCACGAGGCGCCTCTGTGTCTGCATAATTAACGTGGGTCCCCCCCCAGGAGTGAATACCTGTCTGTAACCCAAACCAACCAGAGTTTGCAGTGGAAAGGGTCTTGATCTGATACCCTAGTAGCTGCACTTCTGAGGGAACGCCTGACAGAGCAGGGTTGTTCTGCTGCGTGATCTGCCCGCACCAGGAGTCGGGGATGTATCTCTAGATGATATCTGGTGGTCCTCGCTCCTAGAACCAGGGCAGGAGGTGGAGTCAGGGGTGGGGGGCTACAGAAGAAGACACTGGGGCGGAGGTGGGGGGTGGGGCGCAGGGAGAAGCTGAGCTGGGAGGCAACCCCGCAAACCAGCCCGCACCCCCCCCAGGGAGCTCCAGGGCACCCGCGCCTGCCGTGGACCGGAGCGGCTGGCGGCTTTGTGTCTCACTGCTGAGCGTGGCCTCCGGGGCCGTCCTGGGGACACTGGTTGCTGTGCTTGGCCAGGGGCAGCTTGGTTGGGCAGGGAGGACTGCAGAGTCCCCAGGCTCCCCTGGCAGTGGGCGTATTTCTGAGGCCCATGGGACTTGCCAGGCCCAGAGCTGCGAGGAGAGACATGTCCTTGGGAGGGGCAGTCACACCTGTCCCCTGGTTCCCAGCCGCTGGGGACCTGGCCCGCATCACCCCTCAGGGCTACAGGTCGGCCAGCGCCCACGCCCCAGGAGGGCTTCTCTGCCCGGTGCCACCCAAGGCCCTGCCCGGGCGTCCAGCTGGCGGCCCGGCTGCGTCCACCACTCGCTTGTGTGGTGGGCGCCCCCTGTCGCCGCGACTCGGCTCCCTGCCCCCAGAGCCAGGTGTCGCTGCAGCTTGATCTAGAGCAGAGGGACCTTAGATTTCTTGGTTCGTCCGTGTGATTCTGCTCTACATGAGCCTCTTAGATTCCATAAGACTCCCCGGCAGGTGGGCCACTCCCCACGGTGCTTGCTTCACCCTCGGGCACCATCTGACCTTGGAGCGGAGAGTTTCCGGGCTGGGTCTCCCCGCAGCTCACGTGGCCTCCCCTCTTCTTCCTTCCAGGCGAACGAAATGCTGCTCAGTGGACGGAAGCTAACGGCCCAGGAGGCATGCGGCAAAGGGCTGGTCTCCCAGGTGTTCTGGCCGGGGACCTTCACCCAGGAAGTCATGGTCCGCATCAAGGAGCTCGCCTCCTGCAACCCCGTCGTACGTCCAGCTCCTCTTCCGCCCTTTCTCTGCAGGGTCACGCAGAGGCAGGCCGAGGCTGGGCCTCTGCACCCAGCGGGAGCCAAGGGAGCGCAGTTAGACAGACGTAGTCACTGAAGAATGTCCTGTGGAGGTGTACAAAAAGCACTGTTTCTAAAGTCCTCACTGTTTCCAAAGCCTTGCATCTCTCCACGCGTTTTCTCCCTGCAGTGAATGTAGGTTTGCGTTTAGTAAGTGCTAGATGGGTGCTAACAAAAGTACATATAGCAAATGACAGGGTGAAACGTTATTTCCTGTTGACTGACACAGCTCCCATATAAGCTGTCCCAGACATCTTAACAACTCATTACAGAGAGTAAGTTGGGGTTTGAGGTCCCCTGGGAAGGCTTTCTCAGCGAGCCTCCCAGGAGTGGGCATCACCGGTGGGGTTCCTACAGAGCTAGCGCAGGCCCGAGGCTGGGGAGAGCATGGCTGCCGATAGATAGCGTAACAGCCCTTTGAAGCCGAGTGTGTCCCACATCCACAGTGAGTGAAGCACGTGGAACACACTCGCCAGGCCAGCACGTGTCAGCAGAAGGCGTTCGGTCCCCCTCTTGCCAGGTGGCTCCTGGGTCTGGTATCTGCTTCCAGAAGCGTGGGGACCGTCAGGCACCTGCGCTTGCAGCCACGGTCCCCGCTCACTCCCTGCTTGTCGTCTGGCGCAGGTGCTCGAGGAATCCAAGGCCCTTGTGCGCTGCAACATGAGGCTGGAGCTGGAGCAGGCCAACGAGCGGGAGTGCGAGGTGCTGAAGAAGATCTGGGGCTCGGCGCAGGGCATGGACTCCATGCTCAAGTACCTGCAGAGGAAGATCGATGAGTTCTGACGGCCGGGCCGCCCGACCTCACCGGGGCCACGCCGCGCTGGGCCTCACAGCCAGGGCCAGGCTGGCCCGGAGCTCCCGCTGGGAAGCAGGACTTGAGACAGCCAAGCTATTTATTGCCAAGGAGTTTTTGAGTACTGTAACTTTAAAATAAATAACTACAAAACTCCTTTGTCCAAACGTCATTATTTTATACTTAATACACACACAAGTGTAAAAGTATAAAGGTGAGCTCTGGGCTGCTCTTTGAGGCTCTAATTTTTGTTATCTTTGGCTAGTACTGTATAAAAAAGTATGTTTTCTTGATTTGGGTGTCAGAAAAGTCTGAAATAATGTTTGTTTTTCCTTGTTTTTTCCTTCTAGAAGAAAAGAAAGAGGTGTTAGCCAGCCTCACCATCCCAGCCCCAAATAGAAATATGGAAAGATCTGAGATGTGCCCTTATCTCTAAGAGGTCCAAAGCCTCAGAGATAGAAAATTCTAAATCAAATGAAAGATTTATCTTTTAGGATAAGTATTTCTGGTTAAACACCCACTGATGGAAATACCCCCAAAATAAAATATGCCTACGATTCATGCTATCAGTTGATTGTTCCCACTTTTTTAAATGTCTGATTCTTACCCAGTTAATAGGAAGAAACCACTCTCTCTAGGGGAAAGCTTGTTTTCCAGTATTAGTGAATCACTGACTAGCTTCAGTATGGTATCTTAAGTTATAAGTTAATCTTAGCAGGTTTATAATTAGTTTTTCTGACCCTTTTGAAAAATAACTACATAAGTGCTTCTTGTTGCTGGGTGAGAACTACTACTTTATATACAGTTTTGGTTTTCTATTTGCAGATATGATCGATGTATTACACCAAAAATAAAAGGTATTTTTATGTTTATAAAGTGTAATTTTTAGGTTCACTTAGAATATATTTTATTTAATAAGTTAAAATTCTTTTGGCACACTATTAAATGCAGAAACTCCTTTTTAAGAGAACTACCTTATTATATCGACGTTTCATGTTCTTGGTCTCTGCTTTTACGTCTACACAATATACCAAGTACAGGATGCTGTCCGAGAGTGCCCTGTGTAAATAGACGTCCGCATTCCTGCCAGGGGTGGGGACGATTCCAGAAGCCTGTCCCCCGGCAGGCTTCTGAGCTTGCAATCATATTGAATGTATGAAGAGTGAAATAAAATCAAAACCTTATTTTTGTACAGTTTTGAAGTTTCTACTTAGAACCGACCACCTCCCGGCCTCGCGGAGAGCTTACAGAGTGTAAATCTGCCTTTACTTGGATTGGTTGGTGCAGTATTTTTGCATCTGTGGGACCTACTTTTTTCGTTCTGTAGTTTGAACTATATATAAACTGTACAATCTGTAAAGTTTTTATAGAATAAATATTCAGCTGTGAAAACTGGTTAAATAAAACTAATATTTCTTAACACATTTAAAATGTTTCTCTTAATTCTTTCTTCACTTCTGAAGCTTCTCCTGTTTACTTTTTGTGTGAGATAACAGGCACAGGCAGGCACATCACATTAGTACAGTTAAAGGAGATGGACCCACCCACCAAGTGACCTCGGTACCGACACGTAGAGTAATAATGTACATCGTCAAGGAGGTCAGCCATCATGCATGCCAAAAACGAAAAATCTGCACCACTACCATCCGTGAAAAAGCCCAGAACCTTCCAGAAAACACCTTCTACAACTACAGGTAAAAAGAACGGTCAGCGTGCGTAGGAGGCACAGTCGCAACGTCGTCAGGTCGTCTGCCCCCCTGGTGGGCAGCCTGCACGCCGCAGGACCGTCAGATCCTCCTGCGGGAGCAGAGGCGGCCCCGCAGGCCGGGTGTCTGTGCAGCCGTCACTGGCAAGGCGCCTGGCTCAGGCCTACCCGCTGATCCTGGAGAGGCGGGCGGGGGGCAGCCAGCGCTCACCCTGGGGCACGAACACCGTGGCGGTTGTTTGGGTGCCGGCAGTGCCGTTCGGATCCCCCTCAGGACCCGGCCCCTCCCCCACCAGCCTGTGGGCACCAGGACTGAGATGCCACTGGCCACACGCCCCCCCACCCCCGCAGCCAGCACACACACAGAACCCACGGCCGCCCCTGGACAGCGGCCTGCCCGCCCGAGGGCCCAGCACCTGGCCACGTACACCAGTGCACAGGCGTTCCCCCAGGACCCGTCCCGCCCATCAGAGGCCCAGCCCCCGTGGGCCTCAGGACCAGCCTCACCCAGCAGCAGGCAGACGCCAGCCCTGGGTACCCACAGCCCTGCAGACTGGCCAGCAGGCCGGCACCTGTCCTAGGACCAGCTGGACCCCGAGTTCCGCCCACTCACAAATGAAAACAACAAACACTGCGACCTGAAAACCTGCAGGAACAGCTGGGGGAAGTTTATAGCGATACAAGCTTCAGGAACAAAAGATCCCAACCTAACCTTACACCTACAAGAACTAGAGAAACAACAAAACCTTAAGTTAACAGAAAGATAAGAGCAAAACAGAAAAGACCAATGAAACTAAACTAGTTCTTTGAAAAGATACACAAGGTTCATAAACCTTTAACCAGACTCATTAAGGGGGAAAAAAGCCCAAATCCGTGAAACCACAGAAGAAGAAGTTAACTGACGCTGTAGAAAGAGCACTACAAACTGTATAGCCATATACTGTACCATGCAGCTACAGACCAATAAAATGAACAACCGAGAAGAAATTGGTAACTTCCAATGTATAAACTTCCAAGACTGAACCAGGAAAAAAAGAAACAATGTGAGCAGACCAATTAACAATAAAAGTCTCCCAAATAAAAATCCAGGTCTAAATGGGTTCACAGGTCAATTTGCCCAAACATTTAAAGAACAGTTAATATCTGTCCTTCACCGAACTTTTCCCAAAAAATTGCAGAAGGAACACTTTCGAACTTATGTGTCCAATATAACCCTGATACCAAAACCAAAGATAGCACAAAAAAGAAAATTATAGGCCAGTATCACTGATTAACATATATGCAAAAAAAAAAGATGCAAAAATCCTAAATAAAATACTACCAAACCAAGTCCAGTAGTAAACTAAAACAATAATACACTGTGATCAAACGGGATTTATCTCAAGGATGCAAGCATTTTTCAATATCTGCAGATCAGTATTAAGCAGCACATTAACAAACTGAAGAATAAAAACTATGATCATCTCAAGAGGTATAGAGAACGCAGCTGACAAAACTCAACATCCACTCCCTGATAAAAACTCCAGAAAGTGGTTATAGAGGGAACATCTCTCAGCATAAAAAAGGCCATAGGTGACAAGCCCAGAGCTAACATTGCACTCAGGGTTAAAGAGCTGTAAGCTTTCCTCTAACATCAGGAAGATACTATTATTCAACACAACATTGGAAGTCCTTGACAGAATTAGAAATAGGAGTTTTATGGGGACCTAATTAAACTTAAAACCTTCCTCGCAGCAAAGAAAACCACTGCCAAAAAAGACAACCCAAAGGAGTGGGAGAAACTATTTGCAAATGATATGATCAACAAGGGGTTAATACCTAAACTATATAGAAAGTTACTACAACTCAGTATCAAAAATACAACCAACCAGGTTTTTTTTTTCATTTATTTTTATTGGAGGCTAATTACTTTACAATATTTTAGTGGTTTTTGCCATACATTGACATGAATCAGCCATGGATTTACATGTGTTCCCCATCCTGATCCCCCCTCCCACCTCCCTCCCCACCCGATCCCTCTGGGTCTTCCCAGTGCACCAGCCCCGAGCACTTGTCTCATGCATCCAACCTGGGCTGGTGATCTGTTTCACCCTAGATAATATACATGCTTCGATGCTGTTCTCTCAGAAACATCCCACCCTCACCTTCTCCCACAGAGTCCCAAAGTCTGTTCTGTACATCTGTGTCTCTTTTTCTGTTTTGCATATAGGGTTATCGTTACCATCTTTCTAAATTCCATATATATGCGTTAGTATACTGTAATGGTCTTTATCTTTCTGGCTTACTTCACTCTGTATAATGGGGTTCAGTTTCATCCATCTCATTAGAACTGATTCAAATGAATTATTTTTAATGGCTGAGTAATATTCCATGGTGTGTATGTACCACAGCTTCCTTATTTAAATGTGTGCAGAAGAGCTGAATAGACACTTTGCCAAAGAAGACACACCAGCACATAGATGTTCAACACTGTTAATCAGAAAATGCAAATCGAAACCACAACGCGGTATCCGTTCACACCTGTCAGAATGTGCCTCCTCGGGACTTCCCTAGTGGTCCAGTGGCTGAGACTGTGCTCCCAATGCAGGGGGCATGGGTTCGATCCCTGCTCGGGGATCCAGATCCCACAGGCCACAGCTAAGAGTTCACAGGCCATAACTAAGTTCACCACCCTTATGGCAGAAAGTAAAGAGGAACTAAAGAACCTTTTGATGAAAGAGGAGAGTGAAAAAGTTGGCTTAAATCTCAACATTCAGAAAGCTAAGATCATGGCATGTGGTCCCATCACTTCATGGCAAATAGATGGGGAAACAGTGGCTGACTTTTTCTGGGCTCCAAAATCACTGCAGATGGTGATTGCAGCCATGAAATTAAAAGACGCTTACTCCTTGGAAGGAAAGTTATGACCAACCTAGACAGCATATTAAAAAGCAGGGACATTACTTTGCCAACAAAGGTCCATCTAGTCAAGGCTATGGTTTTTCCAGTCGTCATGTATGGATGTGAGAGTTGGACTGTAAAGAAAGCTGAACGCTGAAGAATTGATGCTTTTGAACTGTGGTGTTGGAGAAGACTCTTGAGAGTCCCTTGGACTGCAAGGAGATCCAACCAGTCCATCCTAAAGGAGATCAGTCCTGGGTGTTCATTGGAAGGACTGATGCTGAAGCTGAAACTCCAATACTATGGCCACCTGATGTGAAGAACTGACTCATTGGAAAAGACCCTGATGCTGAGAAGGATTGAGCGCAGGAGGAGAAGGGGACGACAGAGGATGAGATGGTTGGA